TCTGGAGAGAGGGAGGTCTGGGCATCTTTGCTTAGACTGCTGCCCCCGCGACCCGGCCCCGGATAAGCGGAAGAAAATGGATGGAAAATGGATGGATGTACAGTATTCTGCCTATTTGGTACTGATGGCTGTGAGCTGAATAATGTTGGGATGCCAAGATATGATTTCATTTGTCACCTCTGTATGGTAAGATGTTCTGAGTGAACCAAGTCTTGTTCTTCCAGGAGGGTGTGTGGCTGTGGAGTGACAGTTTCAATTTTGACTTCACATTCTGGGGACCAAGGCAGCCTGACAGTGCCGGTAGAAGTGAACATTGTATGATATGTAATGATGTAATGATGATCTATTGTCTTTCATTTGGAGTGATTGCAACAGAAGAAAGAACACTGTTAAAGTGGGGGTGGGGGTGTACTCTTTTCTAATGAATCACCTTAGTTTATTTATGGTTTTGAAATGGGAATTTTCTGACAGGTCACTGGCCAAACATTTCAAGATGGTCCTTGGCTTAATACTAAAACTCATTGCAGGTCTAATTGTTTACCTTCTAGGTGTTGCCAGTGACATGCCTTGTACCCAGAAGAAATCATATGTTTGTGGCAGAGCCCTGTGCGGACGTCGCACACCTACAAATGTCGGCGGTTCTGATTTCTTTTCAGTTTAATCAAATGGTATCTTGATCAGCAATTTGTCATATCTATAATTGCAAATGTTTCTACATCACTTGAAAAGCAATGCAATAAACCAGTTACAAGTGATTTTCTATTGTCAAAGAAGCAGAATCCATTTGTTGCATCTCTGTGGGTTTTACAGAGTGGAAAGCATGGTTATCATTGTCGGTGAGGATGCAGTTTTACTTTCTCAATGTTGGCCGTAACCCATTTGTGGGCGCAGTAAGAAATCTTCCTGTCTTCTGAAAGGTGGTCTAAATGTGAAGTGCCTTTGTCTTCAACCTTTTTAGATGTCTGCAGAGACAATTACTGCATGTGGTTGTTAATGTAAGCGTCCTTTAACTGAAAATTTTGCTCCTTCATCTGCTGTGTGTGCTGCTTATTTATGTATGATCCCACTGGTTTAATTTTTTCTTCTGTCCATTCAAAGATGACTTTTTTTGTTTTGTTTTTTAAATTGAGAACTTGCAAAATTAAACTCAAAGGGTGCTTAAAGAAAAAACTGGAGCCACCTTGCTCACAGTGGACTTCTCCCTCTGGGTCGAGAGTGTGGGAGAGTTGCTGCCCCAAGTGAAGTGGTGTCTTGTTCATGAGTAAGGGTAAAATCAAGTGTGAACTTTTCAAGCGGCTAGGGGAAATATCACCAGTAATACAGATGTTGTACCAGACCATTGTGATGAAGGAGCAGAGCCGAAAGCCAAAGCTCTCGATTTACCAGTCAGTCTACACTCCAACCCTCACCTATGGTCACAATAGGTGGGTAGTGGCCGAAAGAGTAAGAATGCAAATACGACTGGTCGAGTTTCCTTTGTAAGGTTGCCAGACTTCTTGCTAGAGATGGGCCGTGGAGCTCAGACAATAACTATTTGTTTTAGTTAAACGTAAAAGATTTTAATACCAACGAGGATATAGGTGAGACCAAATGAAACATCTGACGGGTCATTTTTACTAAAAAAGTAAATGGAAAAAACAAAACGCTTTTAATAAATTGATGAACCCATGTAAAACATTCATCTTTGAAGTTACTCTTTAAAAATACAGGTCCGATAGATAACATGGTTATGTACAGCATTTACATCACATAGTACCAACAAATCTATACTGGGATTTTTACATTTAATGTGGTCAAACCATATTAATAGACCAAGCAAGCACATTTTATTTTCATGTGTTTGTCTACATAAGTCAGTTGTGGCCATTTGGAAAACATTTACAAATTAAATGAACATGTTTTATGTTGGCTACATAAAGCTACTGGTTAACTAAGGTTAAACAGACCAACTCTTCTAAATAATTGCAGTGAATGTTTTTAAATGGCCCCAATAGTTTTCATGTAACAAAAAAGATATTTTCTGTTTCTGCAATTACAGAACCAGGAAGAACCCTTGAGAGAAAAGTAAAAGGCAATGTTACAGCAGAATGGTATATTGCACAAGCAAATCAGCATTCAGGAAATCTTTAAAGAAAACTGGGCTGAGATGCAAAAAAGGCAGATATTTAGTGCTAGAGACATGCATCTCTATTCACAGTATTTATCAATGAACACTAATCTGCCCCCTTTAGTGGATGGTGGTCATGGAGGCAGCAGAATACACATGGCCACAGTGATTATGTTTCCTGCTCACAAGGTTGTGGCAGCAGCATTTGCCTAAATAAAATAAAACTACCGACACCTAAGAACAGCATGCAATGAGTTTAAAAAGTGGTACTCTAAAGGACCTGGCCCACAGTAGCTGCACTAATGCCAAGTTTGCTATATTGACCCAACTTCAAACATCTTTAACCATTAAATATCTCAAGTGCAAACATATCAGGTCTAGCCTAACGTCAGCAGAGCACAAGGGGAACCATTTCTTCTGTGATGGCAGATAAGTAGCAAGTCCTTCCTAAGTCACCATGAGCTATTTACTTGGTGTGATCTTCTCTAGTCCTGGCCAGGTGGGAATGTAGTATCGAGGCAAAGTGCCTTCCATGAGCCTTTCCATCCACAAGCCCAGGCGGTCTAGTTTGTGGTGGATCTGCAGGGTGGATATGCTGCGAGATCGGTTGGGCTTGCGCGTTGGGTGGTCATCACGGGAACCTGACTTCGACCTCCCCCCTGAAGTGCCCCCTTCATCCTCAGATGACTTGCCGTCAAGGTCTTCACCAGTGTAGACAGGCTTAAACAGACAAAGGTATTTTTTGTGTCCATTAAGCGCCAGCACATAGCCAGTGTAGTCTATCTTGTGGGATCCCCAGTCATCGTCATCTGCATCATTCTGCATGGCGTCCTGGGCGTATTCCAGCAGTGTGTTCATCCACTGGCTGTGCTTGTCAATATTCAGGAAGGAGAAATGTAGTGTGAGGCTCCTAGGAGAGTGTTAAGAGAATTAATGTGAGAAAGTATAAATAAACAAAATAACGGACCTTATTTGTTCCACAAAAGAAAAAGTGAATGTTCAGCTTACCCTGTGAAAGAGTAGACCTCTTTGGCAAACTTGCTAAGGAGAATGTTCTTTGAGGCGTCGGTGAGCACCAGCACTATGTTCATGTGTCCGGGCCTCAGTTTCACCAGGTTGCTCATGTAAGTGATATCTGTCAGTTCAGTCACCTCCACAAAATTCTTCTTGGGAGGTCGACTAAAGTAAACAGCAAAAGTAAAGATCTTAAAACCGTGATGATAAATCCTGCACTCAAAGTATGAAAATTTATTCTTGCCTTGAATTACTGCTCCCAGGTGACCCATTTTCTGCTTTTGTGCCATCTTTGGCCTTTGGTTTGGTCTGTTTATCTTCACTAGAGTCACTGAAAATACACAAAGAAGGTGCTATTGAGTAAAATTAATAGCACTGTAACTTTGTTTTCTGCTTTTTGTCTACAGTGTCTTACACAAATACCAGGAAAAGGTGTCATTGCTGTAGTTAGTGATCTTATGAAACATGCGTGTGGTAAATCAACCAACCTGAAGGCCTGAATGACCACAGTTCCAAACAAGATGAACAAGGCAGAGAAGATAAGGGACAGAAGTGGCATCATCTCCCGCCTGCAAGTCATCACAAATGTCTTAATGCAACAAGACACACTGTATTTCCATTTTAAGACCATGTTCTTCCATGAAAGAAAGCTTGTTTGCAAACTGTGTACTGCTATAATGCAATTTTAATCCTCAGAATAATTGAATCTGACTGTTACATCAACATCTCAAGTTAAAATTAAACTTCAGTCAGAAAGTTAAAGCACACTAAAATTTCTACCTACCAGTTGTTATGCAGAATATCATCAATAACGTCAGAGAGGTAATCATAAGACGCATAAATCCATCGGATTACAAACATCTGAAAATTTTAGAGGATTACATTAAGTAACAGTACTTGTTTATAATAATAAAACTCATTTAACATCTTCAACCCTTTTTGATTCAAAGAGATCATACAGAGGCAAACTCATTATTGAGCTCAGGCAGCATGGCGTCATGGATGAGGATGGACGGGTCCTTCTGAAGTCGCTCCAGCTCCTCCACAAGACGTTGCTTGTCCTCTTCACTGCCATTCCAGGCAGTCACTGGCTTAAACAAGGCCTTTCCTGCAGCATTGCGCCTCTCCAGGATCACAACCTGCACACACAAACACATATGAACAACAGAACAATTTAAAGCAACAAAACATGACTATCACCAAGTCTCCTAATATAAAACTGGAATAATACACTTTTCAGTCTAGCACTTCTTCTTTCCCTTTCTAAATGGCAAATACAAATACTGCAACCTGCTGGTAGGGAGAGTTATTTCTCTCACACAGGCGCAGAATATACAGTATGTGTTAGTTGGCCGTTGGCTGTAGTCTGTGTGGTGTGTTGTCGACAGGACTGGACAAAGACAACGTGAGGCAATGCAACAGTCGGTCTATGGCGGTGCTAGTACTTTCACATCAGCTTGGTGTGTCTGTGTCCTATGACATGAACCAAACTAAAAGCTCAGTACAAGTACAAATCGTTTCTGGTAGATACTGCCATGTTGATTTGTGTATAAGTTGTCATTTAAGTGTGTTCTTAATAAGTATTTTGATTATATAAAAGGGCTATATTTCAGATGATCTGACAGCATTGGCTGGCAGTTTGATGCTATCACTCCACTTCTTGTCACTACTGCATGGAATCTGGCTGCAAAATGTGTCACAAAAGGAAACATGGCCACCCCTGTATTGGAGATATTTTAGCTTCGCTTTTGCAAAACAGCAAGAAGTGGTAACACATAGTCCATCTTTACATATGGTCTATGGGACAAAAACTTGAAATCATTACTTTGTCTCAAATGCTTGCACTACTGCGTCATTCTACTGCATATTAGATCAAATCAACCTAAATCCCATATCCTAAATCAATGCCAGCTCTCAAATCCACATGCAGAGTCCTGGTGGAACTGGCAGCTCTAGTGTTGGTGTACCTGTGGTTGTGACTGTGCACTGTCCTTCTTCTGCATGAGGATATCACAAAGTGGTTGTTGTAACCGTTGGTACACATAGGCAAATCTCACAACTTCCTTGGTATTGGTGGAGGCAAATGAGAGAAACTCCTGGTTCCCAAAAGAAAAGGTTTCTTCATCACCTGTGATTAGCAGGACACAGTATCTGAGGGGAGGACAGAGAATACAGTGTTATTAAATACAAACTACATCTTAACATACTGTAAATGAAATGCGGAAAGTACAGCAAAAATTAAATCCACTTGGTTTCATATTTCAGTTCTCTCTTATGTATCAGTTGAGAACAGACATTTAAAAAAAAAAAAATCAAATGTTGGATTATCTTACTTCCTGCGTCTATGGAACTGTTTGACAGGACAGAGCTCATCAAAGAGCTTCTGGTTGACCAGTCGTGGTGCAAGGAGAAATTTGTTGTTTGACATGAACTCATCAATAATTTGCTTTTTCATTCCTTTAGCCTGCACAGAACAAACATAGAATAAAAACAGGTGAGGTAACATTTCAATGAACGTGTGCAGATGTAAAAATAACTGTGACTGATTAAATCAGACCTGTAGAACAGGAAGCTTTCATCAAGCTCCATATTTTGTCTGATTTACCTGTATAATGTCAGCAGGCTTGCCAGCGTTCTCTTTGAAGACCAGCATAGTTGGAGCATAAGTGTTAATATTGAATTGTTTCTGCAAATTGGCAGTCTCTGAAAGACCCTGGTCCACATAGCCAAACTGCAAGTAGTCCTTATAAGCAAAAGCTGTCAACTGGAGATGCAGAAATAAGTTACTGATGTTTGTTTTAGTAATGCAGTTACTAAGGTACATTTCACATAAAGACAGGCAAGAAAAGAACGTACTTTGTAAAGTAGAGGAACTACGGGCACTTGATCGAACAGAAGCACATGCGGCTTGTTGAGCTCATGCCAGCTGTTCAAGAACTGCAGGTCATTCTTTTCAGTGACCTGAAATTTGGATATTCCAAACAGTTTCATTCATTTTGATGTATGCAACCTATGAATCTGTCTGTATATGCACCATAAATCTGTTTAACTACCGGTACACAGTTTTACAAATAAAGCAGTGTAATTCATTTTGTTTATGCTGCATAAACAGTACAATGTTTATCACAAGACAGGCAGTTTTTTACCTGCTCCACGAGTCTCTGAGGCAGAAGGTCTTCTACAAACTGCTTCAGGTGCTCCTTTGCTACAACATAATGAAAAAACGTCACTTTGCCATTGATGACTCCAAGTATTGATGGAGTACGATGAGCACCGAGGTGATTCGCTAACCGTCTCTCATAGCCAACATCCACCACACCAATACCAACACCTGCAAAGACAAGATTTCCACAGACACACACATATCAACCATTTCAACTCTCCCCATGCATTTTCACCAAGAACAAGGCTACTGTATCATTTTGAATGATTTATAAGCTCATTGCAAACCTAAAGCCTCCATCTCCTCGACCACCTCTTTCCAGATAGGCTCAATGTGGATGCAGCTGAAGCACCAGTCAGAGGTGATCTTTATCAGGTATGGTCTCTTATAGCTGTCGGGCACCACGTCGTTGACATACTGGTTAAAGTGCAATGTGTACTTGCTGTCAGTAAAGTCTCTGTGGTTCTTGCTGTTGAAGGGAAAATTAAAGGACTCGTCAAAGTAAAAGCTGTCATGGTGATGCCTGTAGCGACCACTGCCATATGGCTGGGTGTCATCAGTCTGCCCATAACGATCATAATTGGCACGTTTGTCTTCATTAGACAGGATCTATATTTTGAATAGAACAAATATAAATATGAAGGACATCTTCCTCTCCTGCATGTGTTAGTGGCTTTTTATCACAAATTACATACACATACCATATGATACTAAAGGTTATGCATTACAGTAGCTGTGCAATATATTAAAGAATTCAATTTTTTATAAGGACTAACCTCATAGGACTTGGTAATCTTGATAAACATGTCTTCAGCATCTGGATTTTTGTTTTTGTCAGGATGCCTTGAGAAGGAAATACTCTGTTAAGAACTGAATCAGGTTTATAATAAAAGATCAGTGTCATGTGAAAATATTTACCATTCTTTTGCAAGACGCTTATAGACCTTCTTGATTTCTGCCTGGCTTGCACTCCTGGCTAGTCCTAAGATTTTGTATGGATCCATCTCAGGCCCAGCATGGGCTGAACCTGTCAGCAGCACTGAGAGGACCGCCACTACAGCCAGCAGCAGAGACATCTTTGACCATGCCATCACAGTTACCTTTAACACATCAGAAGAACTATCAGCATAAAGTTAAGGTGTACTAAATCTGAGGACGTTAAGCCCTGAAATTATGACACAGCCTTTAGCTGGCTAAAACTGCCATTACGCCACAATGACACCAGCCTGTGAGACTAATGATGCAAAGTGATGTACACAACCGGGGGGCTAAATATGGTGAAAATGGCATTATAGCACGATACTTACAGAAGCTAGACAGGCTAGATAATACCGTATATGTAAGTCAACTAGTACAGCAACAGACATTACCATATTATAATCTTACTGAAAAGTTACTGGGTTGTAATATTAACGTTATTCCTCGAAAATGAAAATGTTCACGCAGTTTTTCCATTAGGGTTAGCTGCGTTGCTACAGTGGTTAGCCGTATCGACGTATCAACCATATTCCCAGTCACCTCACACAGATGTGGTCAACCGGTGCTACGCCACATTTTTGGTGGTTTTGATATTCGTCAGCTCTTTGCTCGAAGCTGACGTAAAAAAACAACGAAATGCAAAGGGTGTGTTCACCACCAGCATCCCACAGATCCTCCAGGATAAGCTGACAACCTGCTGCTACGGCTATTACTTAGCAGGAGTAAAAGGGGAGGTGTCGAGTGACGAAAGTAGTTTCGGGAGATTGAGTTTTATCCATCCATCCATCCATTTTCCTCCGCTTATCCGGGACCGGGTCGCGGGGGCAGCAGTCTAAGCAAAGATGCCCAGACTTCTCTCTCCCAGACTTCCCTCTCTCCAGACACTTCCTCCAGCTCCTCCGCGGGAATGCTGAGGCGTTCCCAAGCCAGCCGAGAGACATAGTCCCTCCAGCGTGTCCTGGGTCTTCCCCGGGGCCTCCTCCCGGTGGGACATGCCTGGAACACCTTCCTAGGAAGGCGCCCAGGAGGCATCCGAAACAGATGCCCGAGCCACCTCAGCTGGCTCCTCTCGATGTGGAGGAGCAGCGGTTCTACTCTGAGCTCCTCCCGGGTGACCGAGCTCCTCACCCTATCTCTAAGGGTGCGCCCGGCCACCCTGCGGAGAAAGCTCATTTCGGGCACCTGTATCCGGGATCTTGCCCTTTCGGTCATGACCCAAGGTTCATGACCATAGGTGAGAGTCGGAACGTAGATTGACCAGTAAATCAAGAGAAAAATCTCTCGATTTACTTTAGATTGAGTTTTATTTTGTTTTATTTTATTTTGTGTTTTGTTCGATTTGTTGTTCGTCGCGCCGCAGTTTTGAGTGTAATCGTGTTAGCACAGTAATAAAATCAAGCGCACTCTATTTTTTTCCTATTGTACAGCCTCAGTGGACCAATCACGTGCACGTTGATGTAAACAAGGAAGTGGCTAATGCAACTGAGCACAAATACTACAAATTAAAACGCTTGTACACGAAAACGGTATTGTTTCCCTTGTGGACCATTTCGCCCATTTTAGGATACCGTCTGACTATATAACAGTTACATATTTACATTTTTTAATGACAGATCCTTTGCTTTTCTCATTCAGGTCGTTAGTATTAAATGGAGGAAAGACACAAGAATGTTCTTCGGCGCAACAGGGTCAGTCTCGTGAGAGACTTGGACCCATCCAACCTTTATGATGGCCTTATTGAAAAAGGAGTTTTTACCAACAACATGATCGATGAGATAAAGGTAGGTAGCTGTGTAAGTCACGAGACTGAGGTTCAGGTTGTAGCTTGTTTATTAACGCCCACAGCAACAATTTAATGTAATGTTGGTTCCGTGTTTCCTGTCAGAGCTCTGGTACCAGAGGCGACCAGGCCAGGAAGTTAGTCCTGGACTTGGAAACCCGTGGGAGTCGGGCCTTTCCATTATTCCTGGAGTGCCTTCAGGAGACAGGTCAGCACAGTCTAGCAGAGCTACTACAGACTGGAGCACCAACCGTTCAGCTGCAGCCTGCAACACCCACTGTTCGCCCTGTTGTCCAGCCTCTCCCAGTTTGTAAGTATTTGGTGCTATAGCATGTTTCATGAGAGTTAATGTCATAACTCTCTTTAAAGATAGTCTCTGTAGGCAAATGCGTACAGTAATTTGCAACTCAGTTTTTTCTTTTTAAATAGCCTCTCCAGTGGATGTTGATAAGCAAATAAAAGATGTCCCTGTATATCCATTACAGAGACCCAGTGCACCCACTCCATGTAAGCTATGCAGATAATTTACATATTAGTAACAATCTGTTCATTGGTGTTGACACATAATAATGCCTATGTCACAGCACCTGAGAGGGAGCACAAAAGACAAAAGCCACAAGGCAGAACCCGACTAGACAGTATTCAGGTAAGCGCTATTTATTTATCGTGTTCTTTCTGACCGGCAGAAATACATAGGCTGCTATTGGATCTGTTTAATTTCAGAATACATATTCACACTATGCCTCTGTCTTTGCTTCCTTTTTCATGTATGTGGATGGTAGATCTATAAAATGGATGCCAGCCCATGTGGACACTGCCTTATCATAAACAATGTGGATTTTGAGCCTCAGAGCAATCTGAAGAGTCGTAAAGGGTCCAACATAGACTGCAACAAGCTGGAAAGAAGATTCAAGGCACTCAACTTTATTGTGGAAGTGAAGTCAAACCTAAAACAAAGTGTAAGAATAATTTATTCTGCTTCTGTGTCCGAAGCCACAGATAAAATGTTTTAGTAAAGCTAACTGTGATATCCACATTTCAGAAAATAAAACGTGAACTGTCAGCTTTATCTAAGAAGGACCATTTGCAATATGACTGCTGTGTGGTTATCATGCTGTCCCATGGCACTGAGGTAAGATCTGTCCTGTAGTTGTTTTTCATCAGAGCAATCCACATCGATTGTATCATACCAGAGTTGTCTTTGACATACACAAGTTCAGATTAAGTTTTTCACAACCGCTTCCCCGGTGCCGTGTATGGTGTGGACGGACAGTGTGTCCCAGTTCAGCTTATCACAGACTACCTCAGCGGGCAGAAATGTCCTTCATTACAGGGCAAACCCAAACTTTTCTTCATCCAGGCATGTGGAGGAGGTAGCTTACAATGGACATACTATTAAATGTGTGAAAAGCGTAGTCCTACTTCCAGTATTTGTGGATTGTACATGCACTTTAAATGTGTTTTTGTCTTTGAGGTGAAAGAGACATGGGCTTTGAGGTGTCCCCTGATGAGGTTGAGCCATCCTTCGGCGGAGCAGATGACCAGACAGATGCCATACCGATGTCATCCAGCAGCGACTCTCTGAGCATGTCTGACGAACTGGATGCCAGAGCTACTTTGCCCACCCCAAGTGACATTCTGGTGTCCTACTCAACCTTTCCTGGTCTGTGTCTGTATGTGTGTGTGCTGCATTCGTGTTTCTGTGTTTATTTTGATACAGTAAATAACAGTCTTTCAGATACAGATCAAAGCTATATTTGTACAGTACTTGATTTGCTATGTGGATTTTCCTAATGCCACTTTGACCTTGTTACAAATACAGGTTACGTCTCTTGGAGAGACCCCAAGTCAGGCTCCTGGTATGTTGCGACGCTGGACCGTATTCTTGAGGAAAATGCTGCTACCAATGATCTGGTCACAATGTTGATGATGGTTGGTGCCTCTCATTTCATCAAAAGTAGCTTGAATCTCCTTGACCATTTATTGCTTCTTAAATTAAACAGACTCATCTGATTAATAAATGTGCTCATGTGCAGGTTAACAATGAAGTATCCCAAAACTCAGCAAAAGGGCTCTACAAGCAAATGCCTGGTTCCTTTAACTTCCTCCGTAAACTTCTCTACTTTCAAACCCAAGCATCACCCACGCAAAGTTCAACTTGACACACTTCCCGTTCATCTGTTTCAACATCATAAGTTATGACAGTCATTTCTTGGAATTATGTCTCAGCAGAGTTGCAGATTGTATGAATCTATAGCTGTGCTTTTTTTTTAGCTTTACTGTACACTTCTCTTGTTTGTGACATCTTGCTGTGTTTTTAATTTGTGGTGCAACTTTCCTCAGTGGTTTTTAGGTAGGTAGGTAGGTAGAACTTTATTGATCCTACAGTGGGGAAATTCCAGTGTTCCAGAAATTCCACTTTATATGAGGAAAATATGTACCTACTGCAAAAGTGTGGTTGAGGTTAATATTTGTTTATGTTCTTGGTGTCAATTTTTAATACACAGTTGTTGTTTTTTCAATAAAATGGGATTTTGTTAAATTATTTTCAGTGGAAATGGGGTTGTGGCAATGAAAGGTTTTGAACTGAATAGATAAGACTCACCTATGTCAGTTAAATATGTCCTCCAATTTCCTCCAGTATAGATGCAAACTCGTTACACTGAAATCAGGGCTTAACTGTGTTGGGGATTAGTTAGCCTCTCAACAGTGTTAAACATAGCAGGAGAACAAGAACAAAGCTTGTCTAACCTTATTTATGTAAGAGTTATACTGCAAATGTGAAGCCTCTCTCTGAAGATCTCAGTGAATCTGAATTTTTCCTCTATTTGAACTAGCTTTCCTGCATTCACTTTTCTGACTTGTGATAGCCAGAGTGTTCCTCCATGGTGCTTTTTGTTTGCCAGAGGTGTATTTAACCTTTTCAGGTGCAATGCATTAATACATTCAAGAGTTTTACAGGTAAAATGATCAAGAAATGAATCAACACAGTCTGATCTTAGCCTTACTGACACAGATATAGCTTCCATAAAGACTGAAAAAGTATGATAATTTAAATACCTTTTTAACAGCAACTGAAGTGTTATTTGTAGCAGGTAAAGCTGACATATCAGAGAAAACACAGAAATGGTCAGAGAGGCCACATCCTCGACAAAAGTGCTTGAGATGTCAACACTCATAGTTAAAACTAGATCCAGTGTGTGTGGGCCCTTCACATGTTTCAGCAAATCAGATGTTTCATGGACACCACTGAATTCTTGTGCATTTGTCTTTTGAATTATCAATATGAATGTTAAAGTCACCAGTTATGAAAATATCCTCATAATCTGTCGAGCTGACAGAGAGCAGCTCTGTGAAGTTCTCTATACAATTTGTAGATGATCATGGAGGCCATAAATTATTAACAGCAGGGTCATAGGTGTGCCTTTCAACACAAAACAAAGATACTCAAAATAGTCATAATCACCACATAATAACTTTGCACTGGAATGAGTTTTTACATATAGCAGCAACACTTCTGCCAGATCAATAAACAGTTATAAACTTAAAGTCTGGGGAAGCTGACTCAGTGAGAATTGGTGCAGTATTACTATTGTGTAACCACGTTTCAGATAAGAACATCAAATCAAGATTATTAGTAGTGATAAGATTATTGACAAAAAATGACTTGTTGCTAAGAGATCAAATATTTAATAAAGCTACCTTTGTAGAAGTGGTGGAAGGGCACTGAGCAGGCTGAGCCTGGCAAGGAATCGTTAACAATTTTTTTGGATTATAATGACTGAGCAGGGTGCACAATTCTTCCTCTGTTAGCTATTATGCCAGGGTCAGGGAAAACTACTGTTTGTCCGCTGGATCCCAGTTTGTCCTGGGAACATTCATGAGTGCCATTGTAGTGGATAAGTCTGTCGGTGGCCCAGATTAAATCACAGACAAATCACTACAATTCCAGTGATCATTTATTAATACAATAATTCAACAGGCAGGCTATAGAATCACCTTTTCCTCTGGGCAGAGGTTCATGTGTGGGAGTATTTAGAGAAGACACAGCATCAGCATTCCCTCTGGCAACTCCCACTCTAATACAACCTATCACTACTTTTAACAGCTCGCACCCCATAAACACTCCCATCCAGTTTCCCGGCAATGTTTAGGTTCTTTACCAGGAATTTCTTAAGATGGCCTGAAAATGAACTTCTAGTTTGTACTGAGTCAGCAAGTCTTTCCCTTTTTAAGATATAAACTTGAGGATGAGCACACAAACAATTTACACAAAGCTGACAAAGTACAGAGCAAAACTTGCAGAAGTTATGTAAGCATTTTTAAACTCACAGTGTGACCTAACTACACAGGTAATGTCTATGCCAGAGTGTTCCTCCATGGTGCTTTTTGTTTGCCAGAGGTGTATTTAACCTTTTCAGGTGCAATGCATTAATACATTCAAGAGTTTTACAGGTAAAATGATCAAGAAATGAATCAACACAGTCTGATCTTAGCCTTACTGACACAGATATAGCTTCCATAAAGACTGAAAAAGTATGATAATTTAAATACCTTTTTAACAGCAACTGAAGTGTTATTTGTAGCAGGTAAAGCTGACATATCAGAGAAAACACAGAAATGGTCAGAGAGGCCACATCCTCGACAAAAGTGCTTGAGATGTCAACACTCATAGTTAAAACTAGATCCAGTGTGTGTGGGCCCTTCACATGTTTCAGCAAATCAGATGTTTCATGGACACCACTGAATTCTTGTGCATTTGTCTTTTGAATTATCAATATGAATGTTAAAGTCACCAGTTATGAAAATATCCTCATAATCTGTCGAGCTGACAGAGAGCAGCTCTGTGAAGTTCTCTATACAATTTGTAGATGATCATGGAGGCCATAAATTATTAACAGCAGGGTCATAGGTGTGCCTTTCAACACAAAACAAAGATACTCAAAACAGTCATAATCACCACATAACTGTTTGCACTGGAATGAGTCTTTACATATAGCAGCAACACTTCTGCCAGATCAATAAACAGTTATAAACTTAAAGTCTGGGGAAGCTGACTCAGTGAGAATTGGTGCAGTATTACTATTGTGTAACCACGTTTCAGATAAGAACATCAAATCAAGATTATTAGTAGTGATAAGATTATTGACAAAAAATGACTTGTTGCTAAGAGATCAAATATTTAATAAAGCTACCTTTGTAGAAGTGGTGGAAGGGCACTGAGCAGGCTGAGCCTGGCAAGGAATCGTTAACAATTTTTTTGGATTATAATGACTGAGCAGGGTGCACAATTCTTCCTCTGTTAGCTATTATGCCAGGGTCAGGGAAAACTACTGTTTGTCCGCTGGATCCCAGTTTGTCCTGGGAACATTCATGAGTGCCATTGTAGTGGATAAGTCTGTCGGTGGCCCAGATTAAATCACAGACAAATCACTACAATTCCAGTGATCATTTATTAATACAATAATTCAACAGGCAGGCTATAGAATCACCTTTTCCTCTGGGCAGAGGTTCATGTGTGGGAGTATTTAGAGAAGACACAGCATCAGCATTCCCTCTGGCAACTCCCACTCTAATACAACCTATCACTACTTTTAACAGCTCGCACCCCATAAACACTCCCATCCAGTTTCCCGGCAATGTTTAGGTTCTTTACCAGGAATTTCTTAAGATGGCCTGAAAATGAACTTCTAGTTTGTACTGAGTCAGCAAGTCTTTCCCTTTTTAAGATATAAACTTGAGGATGAGCACACAAACAATTTACACAAAGCTGACAAAGTACAGAGCAAAACTTGCAGAAGTTATGTAAGCATTTTTAAACTCACAGTGTGACCTAACTACACAGGTAATGTCTATGTGTAATCTACACACTCCTATTGTACTCTTTTACATATTAAATATAACTTGTTTGTTTTAACCACTACACCATCAGCTTTGTAACCTGGACCTGAGGTGGCTCTCCTTTGTGCTTGCTGATTTGCTGTGTTGTGAGTTGTTGGTGTTGTGGATCCTCATCTCTTGTCCCTGGCAGGGCGAACAGATGAGTGACGCAGGATTTACGTACTAAAGGTTTGTGAGAGGCTACATGCAGCTGAGAGCCGTCCAGCGCCATCAATCTGCTGAATCCTTCGTCTCCTCTTCTGACTGTTGGTAGTGGGCCACTGGTAAACACCTCAGTTAAAACCTTGCTTCAGAACTTCTGATTGCTGTTTCACAATGTCATTGGCCCCGACATGCACTATGATGTTTTCACGTAGGGTGTTTAGCCAGAATATTTGGAATTCTTGCTCTCATGTTGGAAAACAGTACGTTTTGGTATTTTTGCTGTTCATGTTACATTTTTAACAGCAAAGTCACCCACTATCAAGGTCTGGGGCATAGTAGTTAGCTTTCCTGTTAGCATTCTGCTTTCAGAATTACTCTCACTCCTTACCCTGCTTTGTGAGGATGAGATTACCATCCAGGTAGTTATCCAGAATAACTAGAAATAGCCCATATTTTACCAGACTGCTGCTCCTCTGAGCTCTCACGCTTGGTTAGTTTCCATGTTTGTCAATTGTATGCTTTGCCTTGTTCACTAAAGACTTTGACCGCTCAGATGTCTCTCACTGAATTGTCATGTTATTTTCATTATGAAATTTGCGGTCAGCTGAGTAGGAGGTACCGGATTGAGGCTCTTGTTTGTTTTGCATAATAGATGCAGACCGCCCTAGTCTAAGATGAATAAATACCCAGTGCATCTGTTGCTACCATCAGTCGTTCCAGTTGCTTACCACTGGGTCCTGTAAAACGATGCTTCGCTTTAAGAGCACACTCCGTGAGTAATGCTGAAGAGGTTTAAAAAGAAAAACCTTTATGTGAATTTGAGAAACTCTGAATTGTGATTTTGTAACATTTTAGGTTTTCTTGCCAAACAAGCCAAAGTGTTCCTTTATGCTCAGACAAGCAGAGCATAAAAATATGTAGTCCATTTAAAATTTGTAACATCTACAGTATGTCCTGTTTTTATGTTTGGATAATAGTCTAACAGTAATGTTTGTGTTTTTTTCAGTGCTGGCAGCAACTTGTCTGCATGTATATGGAGGTAAAAACCAGATGTGTGGTGCTGGAATTTTTGCATACTGTATATATCTTTGTGTTAAACTCAAACATATGCATCAACCTTTTTAGGTGGGCCTATAAACACTGTCACCACCTGTGGAGGTATCCATCACCTGAGCTGTGGTATGACTGTTTCCTAAAATGTTCTGTCCACAACAGTGTTCACATGTATTTGGCAAGACAGAAGTATTGGTTGGCTTTGTCAGTAAGGTTACCTACTGTAAAAGGGATATGATGCTGTTTGTTTTTTATAAAAGTTTTTATTTGTCCTGGATTATGAAGAAAGTATTTTCATGTGTATGTTGGGTTAATAGAAACCGTTTTCATAACCTATTTACAAATGATTTTTTTTTGTTGTTGTTTGTATTTTTTAACAGCTCCCCCCCCACTAACTTCTCCCTCTTTGCTGTGAAGTAGATTTTGGAGTGATCAGTGTTGAGACAGCACTGTATGGACGTGCAGACAGTGTGACTTGCAGCAACGGAAAACCTCAGCAAATGATTTCTAACACACAGTGCTCTCTGGAAGGTGCTGTAGATGTCCTCAAGAGAAGGTGCACACTTTGCTTTTGTTTAATCACCTACATGACAGCATGTGTTGAGGCAGCCGATTTAGTGCAATGACATAGCTTAGCTAAGGGTGGAGGTGGCTCATAGCTTTGACATATCACAAGGCTAAAGCATATTTCAGATTTGTTGTGATTCTGCTTGAATCTGTTTTTCTTTTATATATTTATTTTTCCCCTGCAGGTGTAATGGAAAGCGGGTGTGTGAACTGGACACAAATGTCTTTGCAACTGATCCCTGCAGGGGCACCTTTAAATATCTGCAGACCAAGTTCACCTGCCTCCCAATATGTTAGTCATCTGCTTGAAGCAATGCTGCAAAGCCCTAGAATGATTTTGCTTATTAAGTTTTTTTTTAAGGCCTGTATATTCAGTATGCATATGTATGTGCCTTTTTATTGTCACACTTGTTGATTTTGATTCCCATAGTTTTTAGACTTTGGCGTTTCTGCTTTGAGTGTTTTGGATGATTTAAAGAGGGGGTTTAATGTTCCTACTCAGTCTGTTAGTAGGTAGTGGGCCACACTTTAGTTCTGTTTTATTAGTGTGATCTGATTTAAAGAAGTCTGATGAATGACTTTTCACACAAAATGCACCAACCGGGGCTTAATAATGTCATTCATGTTACTTTGACAGTTCATCGTGTGACATGTGAACACTCTTTGGCACACCTGGAATGTAGTAAGATCACATTTTATTTCCTTTATTTGTGTTATATGTGTTTTTCTTGCTCTCTTGGTCACCTACTTCTCAAACAAACATTTCATTCCCCTTTACCTGCAACCTTTCCTCCTCTTTTTACCAGCTGAAGCAATGGTTCTATCTGTCTTCAGTGCTGATTATGGACGCTGGGACAAGACCACATGTTCTTACAATCTGATTGCCTCTCAGATGCAAAATACTGACTGCTCAAGCTCCAGCAGTGAAGTAGCTGACAGGTATAGTTGCCCACTCTTTGTCAATCTGTGTCTCAGGCTGAAGCTGTGGAAATCAAAAATTATGGTATATTTAACTGCAGCAAAGTGATAATTACAAATTTTGTGATGCCATCTATTTTAAACTGCTCTCTGGTGACCCCAGATTCACCCAACGCAGGTTTAAGCCTGCATTCACTCATATCACTTTGTCTCAACAGTTGCAATGGGAAAACCAGCTGTATTATCCCGGCGAGCAACTCATTTTTTGGAGACCCCTGTTATGGCACTGTAAAGTACTTGGAGGTGGCTTACAGTTGTGAATGTAAGTAGCTTAAAGGCCATTTATCAGTGTTTTACCCCAATGAAAATCATCTGTGGTCTATTTGTGCAAAGGAAAGCATGAGTGAAATATAATATGGGAAAAGCAGCCATATATGTAACTACCCAAACAATTACCAACAAACCTGTGCAGTGATAAAAATGCTACAATCCAGGCTCTTAACAAGTCGCTTAAATTGTCTCTCTAAAGTGATGATTTTGTCTCTTTTTGCAGATCTTTCAAATGATATTTCACATGTTTGATCTCACCTGAGGAGTCTGTGCAAAAATGCTGAAATCACAATAATATCACAATATGCATGGATTTAATAAAATACAGCAAGTCAGCAATGTGTCCGGTCAAGAGGGAAGAGGTTTATGTTTTTGCTATTGTACTCATAATGAATTACAAATCTAAAGAAATGTGCACCATAAAAGCTTCATGAATTTATTTCTGATTTCAACCAGAGCATGTTATAACTGGAGCACCCATTCACTCTTAAAGATGTTTTATCAGATCCTTTGAAAAGACATTACAGACTAAATACTAATCATAGAAGCACATGACCTTAAAAAAAACAGGGACTAAGATTTTGCAGTCTACATAGACCTTAAAGACAAGAAGCAATTCTTCAAGGAAGAAAATGTGAGAGACTGGCGATGTAAGTCACAAATGAACCCTTTTGCTTTCAGATTGAAAAAGGGGTTTGACAGCAACATCACAGTACTGTAAAGTGGAAGACTGGCCCCTGAGATGTACAAGTGTAAATGATCTTTTTGATTGGTGAAGAGAGAGCACTGTTGTCACATGTGCTGATGGCTTTTTGCTGAATTTGGTCAGAAGAGTTGTCAAACTGGTCACCTACGATGGGATCTTCTACAGTCATGTTCTGCTTCACGCTCAGCATTACACTGTCAAGGATGACTAGAGCAACAAGGCTGGGATCGAGTTGACCGATTGAGTTGAAATTAAGAAGCTTTGGAGTCAGAATGAAGATGCTTTCCTGAGGTTGCTTTATTATACACTATCCAAGCATGGGGCCTAGTCATCATTAAGCTTTGTGCACAGTATGGGCATACATTATTACCAAAAAATAAACCAGGCAGGATGTTTACAGTCCGTTTAAATATTGTAATGAAAAGTCAAATGTATGTTATAAAATCTTTGGAAAATAACACTTGTCTTTGATATTTGTGTATCAGATAACAGTAAAACAAAATTCCATAATTTCTGTTTTATGGCGCCTTAAATGCTGTTAAGCTATCGCTCCACTAGCTGGAACAAAGAAAATAGTAGTATTGTATATTAAATACAATGACAATGGAAGTAAAAAGTAAGCCTTACAAGATACTATTTGATGCTGTGTAAAGGGAATATGACAACACTTCATGCTGATAAATGGTCAAACTACATTTTTCCAGTACTACAGACCTGTTAAAACACTTCATGTAGCATGTAAACAAGTGCAAACATTACAGGTTTGCCACATGACTACCAAATGACAGTCACGTTGCTGATGTCTTTGGAGAGGTCTGTTTTCGATGGGTACACGACCTTCAGGTTCCCGTCCTGGTCGACGGTTCGGACCTGCTGGACGATCAGCTCGCAGGAGGTCTTGTCACTGGTGGTTGGCTGCTTTGGGATGTCCCCTTCCTCATCTGACCCCACCTCCTCCTGATGCTCTGCCGTGAACTTGTTCAACTCTGCCATTTTCTTTGATGAAACAAGAAACGGCCTTTAAGCACATGTGCGAAGTCCTTTTTTTTTGCGTTTATTAGGCAAACTTTGACATACTTCAACACTTCTTAGATTATTTCTGTTTTCTTTGATGCATTTCATTCCAAAATCTCACAGACAAAAGCTAAAGTTTCTAAGGTTCAGGTCCAACATAAGCACTGTACATACAGTAGGCTAAATAAAGAAAGGGTGCAATAAGAATACAGGAGTGGGGAAGAGGTGAGGCAGTGGGCATAAAAAGACAAGATGTTGCAAATCCATACAACATGCTATTTCTGTGCAGTACCACATACTGTTTGTCATAGTATACGGTTTTCGGAGAACACTGCCCACTGACAGACACTTCTACAGTATGAACAACCTCAAAATCTGCTTAGAATGCCACTGAATTAATTCAGCTAAATAGGTTTGACTGGACAAATAATGTGGATGCTGAGGCTTCGCTCTGTCAGCAGGGCATAAACACTAATGTCAGTCCTTTTTTAATAAAGATGTAATCAGCCAAAACTTTTGTCCAAAGCAATATGCCCCATTAACTAATATCCATGAAGGTAGATTTCCAAGCATCACACTCCAGTGAGGATAAATCCACATGGCCTATCTAACACCCTTTCTTCCAGAGCCTCCATCAGACCACAGTGTTCACAAATATCCCCATTTATGGTACTGAGCACTGAACATAGTATGAGCTTTCCGGTGGCACCACCTTCTGGACAAACTGTCAACTGTACTCACCAAATACTGTATGTGATGAACTGAGCTTCAGTTCTACACTATCTACTGATACTGGCAGGGGGGACCTGCCCCCCACTGGTCCAAATTATAACAAACCAGATTTATTATTTAATAAGAAAAAGAGGAAATATTGGGACAGAGAAAAGGAGAAGCTTACTACAATCAGAGCGTCCATAACATCTTTACAGGTCTGCAGGCTGGTTGCACTTGTCACCTCCAGGAACAACTCTTTGGTAGTTTTCTTTATCTGTAAAGTACAAAAATATCACAGAAACTCCCTGAAGCAGACTGTGGGCTACATTAAGACTACGTGGATTCACCGGGCCTCATTCACCAACCATTCTGTAGAACAAATTTCTTCTTAAAACCAGCTTACAAAGATTTCACAAAAACACTGACATTCACAATTATGCACATTTGAGTACTGACATTTTTATGTAAACTAAGTGGTTACTTATTTCTCTTCAATTCTACAGTTGTATAATATTAGAAGATATAAATTACAATAACAATTTTATCTTTATCAATATTTTTAAATAATTATTTCCATTATTTTACTAAGCTTTCTCATCTTTCAAAATTAATAAACCCTACACTAATATTTATGCTAAGCAATTAACTGCTAGTTTATAAATAAAGGCTTTAAAATTAATTTTACTTTTACAGTGTGATTATTTATAGCTTAGAATTAATAAATGCATCATATTAAAACCAAACACATTTAAGTGTTTATCTTTGGAGTCCGCTGCTGCACAATCTTCAGGCTTCGCATTTTATGACTTTCTTGACTTTCCCTTTCGATTTCTGTGTAAGATTCCCATGTGTGCACATGGCCCATTGTTTTCTCAGTCAGAATCAGTTGCACCATATGACAGTATCTGATATGAAATCCTTATGGGAGGGCACAATTACGATAACCATAAACAACAACAAAAAGATATACACACCTTGGTTTTCTCACTGTTGGTGATCGGTGGGAATGAGATCACATGTCCCTCTGCGTCGATTAGGCAGGGATAGAGTGCTTTTCCTTGCAAAAGCTGCAGGTATCTGTTAAAAAAATGAAACAGCTGACAGAATAATTGACAGAGACAACAGTTTAAAGGCTTTAAGGCAAATGTAACAGATGCATAGCAAGTGATATTAACAAACTTGAAAAATATGTTTCAACTCTGAATCAGTCAGCTGACACACACAGTGAAGATTCTTTGAGTTGCAGGTTTCATTTGACTTGTGTTACACTGAGATTGTCAAGGAGTTGGTTTGTTTTTGTGACTGGTCTCTTCAACTGGCAAAAGTAATTTTACACTTTACTTTTGAGGCATTAAAGACATTAAAAAGCACATTAGTGGTAAAGATGATGTTATATGTCAGTCTTGTGAATCATCATTATTTATCTTGTCATTAAAACAGTAAATCAATAATGTTTTTAAGTAGTGTTTCTGAATTTCCGTTTTACTACCCTTGATTCCAGGCTCAAGCTAACTAATAGAGATGTTTAAAAACATTTCTCTCCAGCAGAGACAAAGCTTATGTTGTATGGAAGAGTCATATGCTTTACTGACTTATGGAGGCCAGTGACGTTCTGCCGCTTCTTCTGCTTCCTCAGTTCATCAGCCTCTAGCTGAAGGTGTCTAATGAGCTCCACAGCTGTCATCTCCTTCCGACCCAGCGGCACAATCTAACAGACGTTTTGTGTAAAATTCAGATGTTTGCATTAAAGCTTTTGAGTGACACATACAATGTGCCACGCAGCAACTGAAACAAACACAAAACTGAAAACAATTCTTGAGAGCAACCACTCTGCACCAGCATACCTTCAGCTGGGTAGGTGGTTTGACATCATACATCAGGGGACTTTTCAGAAGCTGCACATCATGAGCTGCAATGGTTGCAGTGGTCCTTCTACCACACAAGTCATCGTGTAGCTTTGTCTAGAAAAACAAAAGAGGAGTCTTGTCAGTGATGTCATTAGTTTAGTTGTCACACACTATAACATGCATGCCACCTTGTGAAGTGTTTGACCTTACCTGAGCCATCAGGAACCGTTTGAGAGCATTCCCAGGCTTAAGGTTCATGCCGCTGACCACACAGCACACCAGGTATGGTCGGACATCCTTAACCCCAGCACTCACTTTGACCGTGGGTGCATCTGAAACGTGGAGAACCCTCACCACCATCTTGTTCAGCTCCTCCACTTCATCCTGTTCATGTGCCACCTTTTCCTTCTTCTTCCTCTGCTGCTGCCTTTTTCTCACGTCCGTTTTGTGTCCACTGTCCGCATCACCCCCATCCTCTGCCTGTCGTCCTTTTCCTTTTCCTCTAAGGTAGTCGAGGATGGACTTGGTCTGGCAGCTGTTGACCATCTTCTCCAAACGCTTGTCGTTCAGCTTGTTGCCTTTGAAGTTGATCTCTTTCAGCTTGGGGCAGTCGCTCAGATCAGAGGGGATCTCACTCAGCTTGTTGTTAGACAGATCCAGTACCTGTGAAGACAGGCAATCTCGAAATTTAATGCTGCACTACATACTAGCAATCTCAAAACCTGGTTAGTCAGTAGGAGTCCTACGTCCTGACCTGCGGTGAAGATTGCTCAGCCCATCACTTGTTAAACACTGGGCATCCACAATGAAAGGGTTAGGAACAAAGCAGAGATGCAATAAAATGATATCTATTGTATAGTCTAATGGCTAATGATTTTCAGAGAATGTTTGGTTAAACAACTGGGAAAGTAACTTGTAATGACTAGTTTGTTATCAAGACTTCAGCATAGCTTTGATCCACCTACAAGCACTTTTCCCAAAGAATATCTCTATTTTCTTAACGTAGTGCCATTATGGTATAGAGGGGGTCAACTTAACCTAATGTGTATCAAAGAGCTGCTTGATGCATGGGCTGTATGCGGAAACAAAAATTCAAACAAACATCTAGGATTATGTTGTACTGTGTATAGCATGTCTGTGGTAAGCAACAGTTGATCTGGGAATTCGGTTAGGCCCACCTTCAGAGCGACTAGCTTGTGAATGTCCCCACTTAACTCTTCAACCAAGTTGTCAGAGGCCACCAGGGTACTGAGGAGTCCCAGTCGCTCCGAGTAGAAGTTAGCGGGGAAACCGGTGATGTGATTCTTAGAGATGTTGATGCTGGAGAGCTTGGGGCACATGCTCAGTCCCTCTGGCAGGACTTCCAGGTCGTTACAGCTCACGTTAAGAGTGTTTAGCTCTTTTAACTGGGTGATGCCTTCTGGCAACACCCGGAGGTTGTTGACTGAAAGGTCCAGGACCTTCAGGGACTTGAGGTTGCCGATGACATTCGGGATGAAGGCAAGCTTGTTCCTGCATAGGATGAGGCTTTGGAGGTTTGTCAGATGCTGGATGTCCTCGTGGATCTCTGTCAAACTCGGACACTGGCTAACTTCTAGATAATTCAACAGGGTGAGAGAATAGATAGAGGAGGTAAGCCCCCCATTAGAGGAAATTCTCTTGTCGATAGCAGAACCTTGTAAAACCAGTTCACGCCTCTTCTCTGCCACTGCCGTTTCTATTTCTGGCCATTTCTCCATGCTATCCATGCTGTTAGAGACAGTAGCTGTGAAGCTAGTAAGGCCAATTAAACGCACGACTTCCGTTTTCCGTTTTTAAAAATATTGGTTGGCCATAACTATTATAGGTCTGTGAGGCCTTGGGTCAGCGCAGTTTTAGCCTGTTATCATATGTTTATGTATCATTTTATATTATTTTATAGCATTAACGTTACCTCTATAATAAATTGCCAAAGAGTTTGAAAATACTGTCACACGTTATACCTTTATTTTGGAGAACAGTTTTACTTCCTGTAAATGATTGCTATTTATGCTCTGTACCTCTGAAGACGAGGAAGACGTTGTGAAGGTACAACCACTGGTCCAATGACTGGATCTAGCCATCGATGAATGGTAAGACCTTTTAACTTAGAAAAGGTCGACAAGATTCATAGTCGATTCATAAAGTAAATGGGCTGTTGATAGAAAAAAACTACCAATAAAACTATGTTGACCACAATACATTGCGAATAATGTCAGCCCTACCACTGCGCATGTGCGTTCTCGTTGTTGTCAGCGGTGGTTATGGAGATGAGGTGGAACTAGCAGCTGTCAGCATTACGGTGATGTTCATGGTAAGCTGTGTTTGAAATGCACGTAGGAAGACTTACATTCACTCTAAACGGTATCCCAAAAAGAGGCAGGACATACTGTAGGTTGTCAGGACATTAGCCGGTCCAGCTCCAGCAGTCCAAGCCCTATACAGAACAGCTTCTGGAGGACTGGCTATGTTAGCTGATTGATTTAGCTAATTCCCCCTTCCCACCCTGAATAGGGTCGCGGGTGGCTGGAGCTAGAAGAAGTAAGCCTTTCAACAAATGTTTAATTGCTTCAGATTCAACATGCAACTGCTGACATTCAGCACACATAAATGATAATTGAGTGAAGTAGCTACAATTTAACTTTGGTTTCGTCCTTAGTGGTATAGATCAAAGGTTATTTAATAGCCTTAATATTTGATTGTTGGATTCATGGAATGTAAAGAAACTCATGAGTACTTAGTTAAGCATCATTAGGTCAGGACAAGTGAAGTGACATTAAAATAATTTATTTACAAAAATAAAGTAACATTACCTATTTGTTTTTTTGTTTGTGTTATGTCAGTGTCTATCAGAGGGATGCCCAGGAAGATAGGATTTACTGTGGTCAGCTCTTCAAGTCATGAGGACAACTTCAGTGCCAAGGAGCTTATGGTTCATGCCCCCACAGTCAGTGGCTGGAGATCCAGCAGGTACATGTACACGGTACTTTGCTTTCAAAAATACGTACTGTATGTCACATTCATTCGTGGCAACTTCATGCCTTCTTACTGCTGCAAGAGCAATAACATTTTTATGAATAGCAACTCATAGTTTGTCCTTTTTTCTTTGAGATACTCAGTGTTATGTGAATCCAATATTCTGCAGGCTGTGCTCCTATCCTCAGCACATCACCTTCCAGCTGGTGGAGAGAAGTAGGGTGAGGAAGCTACAGCTGCTAGCTCACCAGTACCTGATCCCGGCCAAGGTGGAGTTCCACATTGGAGACACTCTCCCTGAAACGAGCAACTCAGGGTTCCCAGGGCAGCTTCGCAGACTCGGGTGGGACAACAGATTTGGCCAGGCTCGCTTTCAGTTTTGATTTGCACCTTTTTGTGTATTTTAATTAGAATTGTATTGAATTGCTCATAGTTCAAGTGATCAACTGCTCAGTGAGGTCTGCTGGATTTTCCTAGTGATGACGTAAATGTATTAAAATGTAGCAATGTATTTTAGTTGCCTATCTCTCAGCAGAGGAGTTGAACTGGAAGCAACAATGTACTCTCACCACAGGTATGTTGCTTTGTCAGACAATGAGAAGACAGGCTTCAAAGCACGGGAGCTGAAGTCAGTCCATGTAGACGCCATTGGAACGTACTTGAGAATAACCTTTCATAGGAACCATGTCAACAGTTACAACCACTACAATCAGGTACTCTGTTAGACTGTGGCAATACACCTACAATCCTTTTTTCAGAACATTAATGCAGACTGTGAGCAGCTTTGATTATATGTGCAAATCTGATTATGGGTTGTTAAAATTATTTAGTTTGCATTGGTGTTGCCTTCCAGGAGTAATTAGCATACATTATTGAGAATCTTGTCGTTAACAGCAACTCTAGCTGCAGACTTTTCTGTAAACATTGTTTTTCAGTCTTGGTGTTAAAGCCATTGGCTCTATTTTTGAGTAGTTATTTTGTTTCTGCTGCATGAGGCTCTCTCTAGCAGAACGTAGCTTGTCATCAGCCTGGTATCCAATAGCAATACAGGTGAGAGCTACAACCCCTTCGATAATATATTTTAAAGTCTAATTATTGTGATACTACACTGTTTTAAAGATTACCCTAAATGTCTTGATATCTACACAGTGTTAAAAAATTAATTTAGGGTAATCTGAGAAGGTAGAGTATGTGTTCTGTTGATGTCAAGAATGTATTGAAAAACCAAATTGTGTGGAATACTATGTGCTTTAAATTATGACTGCAGACTTTCAATAATTCATTTCCCAATATTTCTTAAGGTTAATCTGCATTTTCAGTAGGGCTGAAATAAGTAGTCAAATAATCATTTAGCATATTGACAGAAAATTATTTGATTCTAATTTTGATAATCAATTTTATAATCTCTTAAATTAAATGCCTTTGGGTTTTTTATTGATGAGAGAAATGGCTGTTGGCTCTGATGTGATGAGCTATGATTACACAAGAATAGTCAATTGTGTAATTAGCAATAATTTAATAGTTGCAGCTCATGTTTTCTAACATTTACAGGCTGCTTCTTCCATATCTCCATCCTGAATTAGATTTTTAGCAGTGTCAAACACTGATAAGAGGCTATACTGATTTTAATCTTACTCAAAAGATAAGACTGGTGTTTTTCTGTGTTTTTCTTACTGTCAAGCAATCCTGTGAAAAAAGTTAACCTACCAGTGTGTTACTCTGTTTGTGCGTGTGACATTCAGTCCCTAATCCAGTTTGTTTAAATCTTTAAAGACAGTTCACAAATATATAGGTTAATTTTTAAATCAGGAAACAGTTTCTTAAAATAGCTGTGCACTGTTGTCTAACAAACAACCTTTAAACTCGAGTAAATAGTGCAATTGCTGGGGACTATTTTCAGCAGTGGATTAATAAACATTTGGTCCTCTAATACAGTGTTTCCCAACCACTGTGCCGCGGCACATAAGTGTGCCGTGAGAAATCATCAGGTGCGCCGTGGAAGATTATCCGATTTCACCTGATTGGTACTCTAAGCGAGCGGCATGTAGTGACAGGCAGAACAATTACATGCTCTTCCACTAGAGGGCGGTATCGCACTGAATACGAAAGTACATAGTCACGCTGCAAGTGAGAAAACGCCGCAGTTAATAGCGATGGATAAATATTTGAAAAGAAAAAGTAGTCAATCTGACCTGGGTCCTGGAGAAAATTCCGACCCAGATGAAGGTTCTAGTAAATTGCTTAGCCTCACCCCATGAGGGTCATGTCCAAAGCAGCTTCCAGCTGGGTACTGTTGAAGTAGTGTTCGAATAGATGTTCATTATATTTCAATAAATATACTTTTTGTGACATTTTTGTTTGGTGGTGTGTGTTGTGATTTTTCTAATGCAAATATGTGCCATGGCTCAAAAAGGTTGGGAAACACTGCTCTAATCAGTATTTACAGTAACAGGACAGTTAATGTGGACCTGACTCAAAATAATAATGGTAATGAAGGAACGTGTCAGTCAATACATACAACAGTGTTGCTCTGTGATGCGTCTCTTTTGTACAAGGTTTGTAGCACAGAGGTATCAGTTGTAACCAGCTCTGACTACATAGAGTTACTACTTGTTAGTAGGATTAGGTAATTGTTAGTTTGGTTCTGGTGCTACAGCGGTGCAGTGGTTAGTGCTGTAGCCTTACAGCGTGGAGGTTCGATCCTGGGCCGACCCAGGGCCTTTCTGTGTGGAGTTTGCATGTTCTCCCTGTGCCTGCATGGGTTCTCTCTGGGTACCATACTCCAGCTTCCTCCCACAGCCCAAAGACATGCAGCTTAGATTGATTGGCGACTCTAAATTGCCCATGACTGTGGGTGTGTGTGGTTGTTTGTCTATGTGTCAGACCTGTGATAGTCTGGCGACCTGTCCAGGGTGGACCCCGTGTCTGGTCAAATGTCAGCTGAGATTGACTCCTTGTCCCCCGTGACCCTATATGGGGATAAGTGGTATAGATAATGGATGGATGGTTTTGTTTTTTTTCATGGGAAATGCTGATATTAAGAAAAATATAGAATATCCCCAGTGTTCACCTATTTATGACAGTTTTGTTTCATTGAACCACCTTACCAACATCTCTTTATGATTTCAGGTTGCTTTGGTTGCCATTAATGTTCTGGGAGATTCTCTGGATGGCAATACATTTAACACAATTGTAAGTGAGCACTCCCATCACTGAACTTACGTCTGCACAGCAGTAGGTGGCGATGTTGGATTGTGATTATGTGAAAAACTGTTCTCTCTCAGTAGGGTTGATTGACATCTTACCATCCATCCACTGACACTGCAGCTGCTATGACAGTTTGAACTATTGGGTTATTAAAATGGGAAACCTGTTTGTTAAACAAGGTCAATTAAGTATTCATCACATGTTTTATATCATTTGTTTATTCATTATGAATCCTCACAAAACAAACTGGATTCTAAGTTTCTCCTTTTTACTGTTCTATTGCAATTTGCTTTCTGCTTTTTAGTTTGAATATAAAGTAACAAAACCGCTGAGGACGGACAAATGTATGTGAATACCTACAGAAGATAATCCAACTCCACCACTATCATAATGTTGAGACTTTGTCAGAGATTTGATGAGTGAACTTACTGTGATTTTGATAAGGCGATGTCTATATTTGATGGTGTAGTTGTGCTATGTAATTGTATGGAGATGATGCATTGGATTGTGCTACATTGTGTACTACAGGTGTTTTATGCTATATTTATTCATATTCACTGCCCCAAAGACACTGTGTAAATATGTATTTAGGCACACGTGTTTATCTGATGAGGGTATGTGTGTTTGTGTATGTGTTAGGAATGTAGCAATGAGACACAAAGAAAGGGCAGAATGTAATCACACAGGAGCCTTTAGTTCACCAGTGTAATTTGATAGTCCTGCAGACAGCCATTTATTGGAGGAAAGAAAGTGCCTTAAAACACATGCACAGAAAAACAGGGACACACACTTGCACAGATTCCGGGGAACAGGCTATGCATTGTTACCCCACTAATCTGGCTCTGAGCACCTTCACTATAGCAATGATCTTGCCTCTAGGGTTGATCTTGTTCACTTAAATCTGTTATATGAGTTGAGGTTGTGTTTGCCGTGTGGAGGGACACTGTGGTGTGGGTACCGGAAGAAAGATTATTCACCTATTCTGTATCTTTCCTCAAGAAACAGCCTATGAATATATCTTCTCACTTACCTCTAGAGATATCTGGCCAAACTGATTGTTTTGGTTTATAGTAAAGTCATTGTGTCTGATCCTCACTTTTGTAAAGGCAAGAGTTATGTTTAGTTTTAGGTTAAGCTAAGGGGTGAAGTTGAGATTCACCTATAGCAAATGTGATTAGATAGCAATAGTCAAGTTTTTGCAGCACAGTAATATAACAGTATATATGCACGTGTGTGTAATTTGTCCATCTGTTTACCCCCAGCCAAGCAGAGCACAGCTGATCGAACACTACCTCAACAGTACCCAGCTGGAAGCTGCTTTGGACATGACCTTCATGGGGTGAGGCTAGGCCAATGAACCCTGGTTTCTTTGTTTTGTGACAATAACACTGTTCAACAAAGACATTTAGTCTGGAAGCCAACCAATAAAGCCATCAGGGTCGTGCATTTGACCATTTGAAGACAATGCAGGTGGTGGCTGTGCTAAGAGCAAAACACATTTCGAAATGGTCGATCCTTGGGGGTCAGTCTTTATTTCTCCCCTTTGATCAGGAATTGCACAATATAGGTTCATTTAACTGATAGTAACACATGTACTTTAGACTGACATTAACCTAGTGAGGGTCTAGTGAAACTTGAATCAAACTGACACTATAAGCTGCTCCTAAATGTTCTTTGTCCCTCCCATCATTTCTCGTTTCCTGGTGATGATGTAAATTACAGATGCCCAATCGTGACAAACCGAACGAAACTCAACCTCAGGTTTAAAGTTATTATTAGCTGACTAATGGGATAATTTGGCAGTTCAGTAGGACACCTTGTTACTCTGGTTTGTGACACAAAGCACTAACATTACATACATCTCAAAGTGCTCCTCCCAAATTAAAATCCCAATTCAATACAAAGATGACTACACTAGGTTGGTACTTTTAATAAAACAACACAACCAGAAGGAATAATGCCACATCTGAATCAAATCTGAGCCCTGTGGGTGGCTTTAACCCTCTCCATTTCAAAAAGCCAAACTGATGTTTGCTCTGCTTTTGTCACACCCTCTTTGTGCAAAAGAATCTGAACTTGTCAGCCTGGCATACGTTTAACTGCCAAGAGCTCCTCCAAGCTCTGATGTGACAGAACTTTGTTCTTGTGACAAATATTTTCACTCCTTAATTTATGTAATGATTCATCTTAAAAAGACACTGTTGTCTTTGTGTCATGTCTTGCCCCCAGGAAATGTGAGTCCATCGCCCCCTTGGACGATCTGGCCTTTGACATGTACCAGGACCCTGAAGTTGCCCATATAATCCGTCTCCTGGATCAAAAGAAGCAGGACATGGTGCAGCAGGAGAAGTATGAGCAGGTCAAGAATCTGAAGCAGGCCATCGCTGACCTGCAGAAGGTAGAATCTTAGATGCAGACTGGGTGGATACAATAAAATTTGGGGGCGGCTGTGGCTCAGGAGGTAGAGCGGTTTATTTCCTAACCGGAAGATTACGAGTTCGATTCCTGGCTTGTCCAGTCAACATGTCGAAGTGTCCTTGAGCAAGACACTGAACCCACAGTTGCTCTCGGTGATAACATCGGTGTGTGAATGTGTGAATGGCCAAGTAGTGTGAAAGCGCCTTGAGTGTGCTGAAAAGCTTTATACAAGTATAAGACCATTTAAAAAACAAACCAAATATTTGGCCAGTATGCCACACAGATACTGTATAAGGGTGTGTTCATGCTGCAGTGAGAACATTTTAGTCTTGAATAATTTATTTTTAATGCCTTCAAAAGTTTAAAAAGATTTTTCATTTTTCTTTTTATACAGATTATACAAACCAAATACAATTAGATAATTAGGGTGTTTTAGAGGTGGTGTCTAGAGATTGTTGACCATTAGAGTACAAGTCTTTCATATGCAAGAAAACGAATGTTTCCCAAATGTTCCAAAATGAACTATTCTGTGAAGTCACTTGAAGTAAATATTGTGATCTCTATTTTCCATAGTTTGTTACAGCAATCAACAATGCCCTTAAGGGAAGTGTAGTTTGAATTTTGAGAAACTGTGCTCAAAGTCAATTTATGATTAGTGCTGGGATGGAGTCCACAAGCAGCCAGGTACAGAATCTACAGCTAGAAAGACTGTGGGAAATGTTTTACTGTGGTAAGGAAATAATTTGTCACAGTTTTTCAGATTTCTACTGGAAATCTCAACTCTGTGAGGCTTCTTTTTTCTTTACAAATATCTAGTGTATTTCAGCGTTTGTAACAGTAATTGTTAAACATTGTTCACATTCTTGTTTCTGGCCTCCTTTGTATACAGCGTTACCATGCTGTCCATGAATTCTTAATAAGTGTGACAGCTGCAGTAATGGTCCTCGGGTAGTGTCTGTCCCATTCCTAACCACAAGTCTTTTTCTGTAACCCAATAGCACACATTTACACAAGCTCCTTGTTACTATGGCATATTACCATCACAGACAAAGCACTTGCTCAGGTAGTCATGTTGAAAATCCTGTGTCATCGCACTCTCATGATCTCATAGGATGGTTTATGGTGCTGCATGAAATCTGAAAACACAAGACAGAAATAAGGCAGGACAGAAGGCAGGGTATTGGCTCATATTTCCACCTTACTCAGTCCACTTTTACTTATCTTGAAAGAAGCATAGGGGCATATACCAGATTGGGGTTTCAGAGATCAGAATGCACCACATGCTACTAATTCTAAATTAGAGAAACAGCTGCCATGTGGAGTGCACCAGTTTGTTTTGACCAAAGGAAAGTAAAGAATTACAAAGCAGTGCCATTCAAACTGCGTCACTTGGCACCTAGGTAGCAACTTCAATTAGCTTGATGGAATTTTCTCAAGAAGTTATGTGTTGGATTTTCCAGCTTGCACGTCATAGTGATTCACCACATGCCACACCTACACACATGCCACACATGTTGCCAGAGAGCTGTATTATTTTGTATTATGTAGGGCAGAAATGAACATGACAGGCCAAAAACCAGTGCAGCTGTAGCTTAAAGGATAAATCTGTTGGATTTAAAACCTTTATATAAATTTTTAGGTTCTGGACATTTGGAGGTTAAATATAAGTGATCACAGTTGAAATGCTAGTCATAATCACTTACTGCACAGGAACAGTGTGCACATAGAGTAAATATAGTGGGTCAACACTGAACCAGGAAGTTGATCTATTAAGTGTGATGGATTTTTACATTTGATAGTTTGATCATTTTTAATAATATTACTACACTGGAAACTGGAATAATCCTTTAAGAAAACACAAAACCAAGAATACACAAAATTCTATTTAGGACAAGGATTCAAACAGGCTGTATATTTTAAAGTGTCAAAATAATGAGTTATGGTTTTAAGTGTAGTTGATCTCTCAGCTGGTGCTCTACTGTAACTTCCAAGACAATTACAGACACTGGAAAATAATTCCTTGAGCTGTCAGCAGTACCAGGCAGAAAAAGTAAATATCACATAGTTTTATTCAATATAGTGAGAGAAACCTAAAGCTATGCTCTCATGTTTACCTCTCTAAACTTGTAGCATAGGCTCACTGTGTCACTGCAGGGCTGTTTTTATCACTCGCTGTCCCTCTTTCAGGTGGGGGAGCGTTTGGCTCGATACGATGTGGAGAAGCAATGTGCCATTGAAAAGGAAGACTATGACTTGGCCAAGAAGAAGAAGGAGCTAATGGAAGACTACAGAAGGAGTGTCTACCAACAGCTGGAGGTGCACAACCTGCTGGACATGACAACGGTCAGTCATCAGCCACTGTTGGTGACACTTCATCTATGTAGTAACTGCAGGTGGACAAGTTTGTGATGGTGATCTGGGGAAATTATTCCCTTACAGTATGTACAGTATTGTTCAAAATAATAGCAGTACAATTTGACTAACCAGAATAATCCAGGTTTTTAGTATATTTTTTATTGCTACATGGCAAACAAGTTACCAGTAGGTGCAGTAGATTCTCAGAAAGCAAACAAGACCCAGCATTCATGATATGCACGTTCTTAAGGCTGTGCAATTGGGAAATTGTTTGAAAGGGGTGTGTTTTTAAAAAAATGGCATTGTCTGCCGTTGACTGTACAAACACAAAACTATGTTGTACAAACGTTTTTGTTTCTAGGATTTAGCAATCCTGTGAATCACTAAACTAATATTTAGTTGTATGACCACAGTTTTTTATAACTGCTTCACATCTGTGTGGCATGGAGTCAACCAACTTGTGGCACCTTTCAGCTGTTATTCCACTCCATGATTCTTTAACAACATTCCACAATTCATTTACATTTCTTGGTTTTGCTTCAGAAACAGCATTTTTGATATCACCCCACAAGTTCTCGATTGGATTAAGGTCCGGGGATTGGGCTGGCCACTCCATAACATTAATTTTGTTGGTTTGGAACCAACACTTTGCTCGTTTACTAGTGTGTTTGGGGTCATTGTCTTGTTGAAACAACCATTTCAAGGGCATGTCCTCTTCAGCATAAGGCAACATGACCTCATCAAGTATTTTGACATATGCAAACTGATCCATGATCCCTGGTATGCGATAAATAGGCCCAACACCATAGTAGGAGAAACATGCCCATATCATGATGCTTGCACCACCATGCTTCACTGTCTTCACTGTGTACTGTGGCTTGAATTCAGAGTTTGGGGGTCGTCTCACAAACTGTCTGTAGCCCTTGGACCCAAAAAGAACAATTTTACTCTCATCAGTCCACAAAATGTTCCTCCATTTCTCTTTAGGCCAGTTGACGTGTTCTTTGGCAAATTGTAACCTCTTCTGCACGTGCCTTTTTTTTAACAGAGGGACTTTGCGGGGGATTCTTGAAAATAGATTAGCTTCACACAGACGTCTTCTAACTGTCACAGTACTTACAGGTAACTCCAGACTGTCTTTGATCATCCTGGAGCTGATCATTGGCTGGGCCTTTGCCATTCTGGTTATTCTTCGATCCATTTTGATGGTTGTCTTCCGTTTTCTTCCACGTCTCTCTGGTTTTGCTCTCCATTTTAAGGCATTGGAGATCATTTTAGCTGAACAGCCTATAATTTTTTGCACCGTTTGTACAGTCAACGGCAGACACTGCTATTTTTTTGAACACACCCCTTTCAACTAATTGCCCAATTGCACAGCCTTAAGAGTGTGCATATCATGAATGCTGGGTCTTGTTTGCTTTCTGAGAATCTACTGCACCTACTGGTAACTTGTTTGCCATGTAGCAATAAAAAATATACTAAAAACCTGGATTATTCTGGTTAGTCACATTGTACTGCTATTATTTTGAACAATACTGTATGTTGTACAACTTTGTGCAGACTGAATTATAGTTTCCCTATATAAGCTTTTGTTCTGTCTTTCCACAATGTCACCAGATCATGAGGACATTGGATCCATCCCCAGCCCAGGGTGCTCCCTCTCTACTGTCTTCTCCACAGCTGCCTTCAGTTCCCACCAAGCCTCTTGTGCCCACAGACACAGTGGGGAAGGGGAAGAAAACCAGTGCTCCTCAGAACCATCCTTCAGATGTAGAAACTGTGGTGCCCAAACTTAGCAGCCAACCTGACACAACCTTCGTCCGTGCTGCTTTACCGAACATTGGTGTATGGACTACTTTACCAAATATGTTGATGGTGCAACACATCACAACATCTTTACACAACAGTGAAAATAGTAATAACTCCAAATTTTTTTGAAGATGGTTAGTAATGACAAACCCAGTATTTTCCAGTAAATGGACCTGTACGTATAGCTTGTTCAGCTTGCATTCAGTCCCTGTATACCTGTAAAAACAACTTATTTGACTGTAGCACCTTAAGAACACCTTAACAACGCCTGCCTTAAGCTGTCTTGGAACATGAAGCACACAGGGAGATTTTAACCAGCAGGGACATCTATACTTTACTCACACCATACTGAGACAGGCCCTACTACAGGTTTGGGTTTCACTATTTAATTAAAAGCATGCAACAGTTGGTTGACTCCAGTCGTTGCCAACCTGGCCTCATGTTTGGGCCTTGACACTCATACAAAGCAGCAGGGTGCCAGTTAGCCTAGGGGCACCGAAGACTATGCTGACCTGTGGGTTAAACATTCATTGTTATCATGATTTTGAATAAACAAGCATCAGGTGGAAGTGAGCATTAGTGAAATGAAGAAAGGTAGAGGTGATAAATCTTTCAAAAGGCTGCACATCTGATTCAGTCTTTAAAGTGTTAGATCAGTTTACTAAAGTAAGGGATCTCTTTAATGTGTCTTGTGCTGAGAAATACGTATACACTACCTATACAATGAAATAGCATTACAAAATCACAAATAAAATGTGAAAGTTGTATAATGTATGTTTCGTTATGTTGTGTTGTCTTGTTACAGGTTACCAGTGTGCCTTATGATGAGAGGCCGCTACCAGCCCTGCAGAGGAAAGAACAGTCAGTGGAGGTCATCCAAAGCCCTGCAGAGGGGGACTCCCTCCAACCTGACACCCATGGGAGTCTGCCCAGCGCTGAGAGAAGCGGAGAGCCAGAGCCCCTGACTGAGAAGACCCAGAAAGAGGCAGGCCTTCCAATAGACGTTTATGGAGAAAGTCTGGTGAGAAAAAGAGGCGAGAAAACATAGTTAGCTAAGCTTTTTATTTCCACGTGTTCTCTAAGAAATTCTTTCTGATATTCCTCTAGGACATTCATTAGTATGTACTTACTCATCTGTTGTGATCTTTCTCCTCTCTGTCTCTTTGTATGTCTTGGTCCTGGTGCCCCTAGGGAAAAGTAATTTGCTATACAGTCTTTTGTTATATAATGCACCTGTAGCTTTAAGGCACTCGTATCAGGTGGAACTGAATGTCAAAGCATGTAAAGTTGTTTTTTTCAGAGCTTTTTGGCTGTAAACAGTTGCCTTCAGCTGCTCAAAACTGGGTCAATAAAAGTGGACTTTTGTGGGCAGAAAAACATATAACATGATAACATGTCATGTAGAATTAAGGGGATAATTCTCTCTGGGTTTGCCACTTTGAGCAACTTTTTTCACACGATGCATAATCCTTTATTAATCCATAGTCTTAATATAAAGTATATTGATTAGCGCAGCTTTAAGAGATCTTTGTGGAAATGTTTATTTTCAGTGAATATCAGCAGATAAGCCAGTGTGTAATATATAGGATTTTTATACTTGACCTAGCCTATGCACGCTGCTGTAATACCCTACTAACTAATGTATGTGTTATCTTTTTTGCCCTCTGTTCTTTTCCAGGTGGCTGGGGCGTACTCCAAAATATGGTCCTACAGAGAGGATGCTCTGCTGGCTGTGTACAAGAGGCTTTTGGTGGTATCACCTACTATCCCCAAGGAGGAGCTGAGAAACATGATAAGAGCTGCAGTCTTCTTGGTTAAGAAGGCCCTTCTGGATAAAGCATCATCGGTGAGTCATTTCCTCAGTACAGCATTGTCTCGGTGTGAATGTCCATTTAATCAAACAGAAAAGGACCTCTGGATATGTTTGTTACTAACAAAGCCTTCTGTCAATCATGTTCTCTGTATTCGTGTTGTAAACAGAACTAATGTTCATGTTGTTAAAACGTGAGTACACACTGGAACATGAACACCCTTAACAATGTTCCCCACTGTAACATAGGCAACATTTCTCCCAGAACTAGCTTCTTTACACAAACACTTTTGACTTTGTAACCCTTCTGGAACTCATCTGTAATTAAAAGGGTAGTGTGGCTATTTATTTTCCTGGTCCACATTGATGTATTAAGGTGTTAACTGGTCATTTTGCAGCTTCACAAATGTGCTTCAATTTAGTTTATGTTAAATACACCTTTCTCTGGCAACTCAGTGGTCTAAATGTAGCCTAGTGTTTTTTTTAAAGAGAAAATTCCAGAAATATTGATAATGCACTGAAAATTCACTTTACCTGTAAGAAGCAGCCTTTCACTACAAGGTCAGCTTGTTAGTCAGCAGATTTTTTTTTTTTTAATAAAATTTCCCCAGCTACTGATTTTCACTCTCCATCTGCTTTCTGTAACCAGCTCAAACTAAACTTTGCCAAGTCGCTGCTAAGTGACATCACCCTGGTGCTAGCTTTTTTTGGAAAGCCCACCGAGTTTTGACTTTAAACACCCACTGTCTCTCTCCTCAGGTTTTCCAGACCTCCTTGAAGCTGCTTCGGCTACTGCTGAGCCAGTCGATCCCAGGTCTGGGGCTGGGCCGAGCTGAGTTGAGTCACTGCTTGGAGCAGACCTGGCCTAACCTACTGGCCAGAACGGGAGAGTCAGCCAGCCGCCTCCGGGCCCCTGCCATTACCTTTATAGAGGTATTGTAACACCCTAGACTGACATGATTATTGGGTACCAGTTGACTTTATTAATGCTTTGCTTCGTGTTGACCTATCCTCTGCCTTCTTAGTAGTTTTGATTTGACTGATGAGAAGATAATTTAGCAATACATTTTCCATTCAGCTTTACTCCTCTACCATCTTGTCTTACAAAGAGCTCTGTGGAAGCTTTTGCTTGATAATGTTGCGAAATCAACACCCTTTTTCTTTTTTTACTCCAATAAACAATATAACATTGTGCTACAAAGCGCATCAGTAGAGTTCTCATCAAAAACAGTTGGTGGCATGTAGTATCAGATATACTGATGAGGCGGCTAATGTTCATGTTTGTGGTTATTATGTCTCAAATTTAAAGTGATAGTTATTTCTTGAAAATACATTTCTACACGTCAGGGTGGAACTTCACTTTATAACAAATGCACAGTAATTTAAGTAACCTCCCTTTCCCTTGATGCAGGCATATACAAGGGTGGAACGGTTACCAAGACAGTATGACAACAAAGTCAAGCACATTAGAAATCAAACCAGTACAACCACGCTGTCAATACATCAGAGTAATTACAGTAAAGATTGTTTTTACCACTACAGTGTACGTGTATCTTCTGCATCTACATATGACATAAAACACTGAAGTAAAACCATAACATCTGGTTTACTTCTGCTCTAGAAGTAAAATAAAATAATAGAATATACTTGTTTATTTAAGACCAGCATGGGTTACATGCCACCAGTTCGTCAGACTAAAGCCAGTCCGGTAGCATGAAGTGAGAATGATAAGGGAGGGTGGCAGAGACATATTTTACACATCAAAGATAGCAGCTTGAAAAACGGAGGGATGATTAAATAAAGTTTGATGTTTTGGGCTGGAGGATAAAAATTTAATGCAAAAACTGGAAAAGAACTTTACTGCTGCTTATTTTTCAGAAAGTAAGAAGAATGCAAATTAACTAAGGCAGAAATAAGAAGACTTCAATCAGAAATTGATATCAAGATGAAGTCTGGGACATAGCCTCTATCAGCACTCCACAAAAATGGCAATGGAAAACACAAAAAATGTCCTGAAAGAACTACTGTACCATGTCCATGAAACATGTTCAGAAAAACTCCCAGTAAATCATTAACATAATCCAACAGGTCAGAGATCCACCAGTAATGCTGAACTAATCATTTTCTTCCTCATTGCTCTTGTAGCAAAGCTGACCCATATAAATTATAAACAGACCTTTCCAGATTCTTCAGGTCCCTGCACCTGAATCAGTTGTGTTTTTCCACAAAATGAATTTTACAACAATTTTACAACAACTAAATTTAGTACTTCAGGAACTATGACTAAACCTTTATAAAATGTCATTCCTCTTAGAATGAAATCCTCATTTGTTCATCATGTTGATTTCTCACAGACTGATGTTTGAAGAAGATACTTGACAAATTCTCAAGAAATGTCAATGCCTGCATACTTAGAGGACACATATTACTTCATTTAAAGTGAGTTTGCTATGAGAGTGAATGTAAATTTCAAAGTCACTGTGTTTTTCTCATGCCACCCGCTTAGGAAATTGCTGTTTTGAAGGAGGTACGGGCCCTGCAGGTAATCCCCAGTGAGCTAGTGAAGCCCTTTAGGTCCAACTTTCCCGCTCGTCTGGCTCAGAGTCGGGCCGAGCTGCTCGAGAAACTACTCTCTAAACTGGGTACAGAGAGCTCAGGCTTCACCTTGGACAATGTCATGATGGTAAGGGACCCAATAAAAGTGAAGGCATCTATCCATTCTTTGTTTTATTTGGTGATGTTGGCATCCTTAATTAATTTGAAAATAATGCCACCAGGGTGCCTCTTGGCTTCTGTACTCTGAGACTTTCAGTGTCACGCTGTCTGAAATTGGCATCTTGGGTTTTTCCACCATGTCAGAAATGTTCTGGAGGACACTCTGAAATGTTTTAAGGGGTAGTCTGTAAAATCTTTGAAACAAATTTAAAATGTACTAAATATTGAGAGTGGCCACTGTAGGTACTGGCTGTCAAGAATCAGGCCTTTACAGATTTTTGTACTAAAGCTGTTTACAGCTACTGCTGGTTTTCCTCAGCTGTCCAGTCATACTTTTTCCAATCTGGAAAAAGCAAACATACCTTCTATAACATGATATCACATGTACTGTATGACACATAGACATATAGCAGAGTATAATGTCTTTACTACTCATCCATAAAGTAGACGGCCATCAAGCTAGTCTTGCATTACATTTGGCTTAGTAATTTTGATGTGTCTAACTGAAAGGGGAGCAGTCTCTCCCTGGCTTGCTGTAATTATTCAGTTATCCAGATATGCTGTCAGTTGGCTGAGTTAATGGTGTTTTGTTGCTGCTCTCTATTGCTGCTGAAACACAGGAATTTCCCAATAAAGTCCTACCTACCTACCTACCTATCTACCTAATGTTGTCACAACTGGCATCTACTTTACATCCCCTAATATCTATGTGCAAACGATAAAACTGTTGACCAGGCCGGGCAATGAGCTCTTCCATCCCCCCCCTCTCCAGTTTATGACCAGTCCTCCACCCATCCCCCTCACTCCTCTTGACTCTGCATGGCTTTTATCAGTGACAACAAATTGTTAGGTTTCTCCTTTTTGAGGAGCCAAAGCACAGAGGGGGCACTGTGCGGCCCATGTTTGCACATACTTGCTTAGTGCCCGCCTCTTTTGTGTTGACTGCCTATGTTTGCTTGGGAAACATTTGCTGTTTGAATTGAGATGTGACAGGTTTGTACTCTGTTCCACAGCTCGTCATCTCTCCTGACCATCGCATTAAACAGTTTGATGAGAAACGTATAAAAGACACCAAGTTTGAACTATTACAATAGGAACAGGCTGTGTTTCCTTATGTTTGATGTTCTGTTGAGATCACTGGTATGTTTCTGTGCTCATCAGCTAATCAGAGGAGATTCCTCGATAACTTTAGGCAGACTGACAGAATAAGGTGAATGAATTTTGTATAACTTGTCAGAGACAGAGTATAATAGCAAGCTGTCGCAGCATTGCTGAGCAAGGGATGGGTGGCCTTTGTACACAGTTTACCTTTTGATGTTAATCCCTTTCACTGGCTGGAGTGCCAGTGTGTTGTGACTGTCTTCACAGGGTTTATGCTGGATAATGGACACTTTATGTGACGATGGGCACCTCTCTTTGATTAAATCAAATCAAATTTTATTTGTATAGCGCCAAATCACAACAAAAGTCATCTCAGGACACTTTACAAAGTAAGGTCTAGACCTTACTGTTATCACTATTATTACATAGGGAAAACCCAACAAATCCCCCTTGAGCAAGCACTTGGCAACAGTGGGGAGGAAAAACTCCCTTTAACGGAAGAAACCTCCGACAGACCCCGGCTCTTGGTGGGCGGCCTTCTGCCTCGACCGGATGGGGTGAGTGGATAGAGGGGAGAGAGAAAAGAAGAAAAGCAACAAGACACAACAATCAAACACTGATCAGGTCGATGTGGCCGGTGACTGCTCATCAGAAACATAGAGCTCCAGGGCCAGGGCAACCTGCAGAAAGGTACAGGGAGAGAGAGAGGACACACTACGGGAGAGAGGAGACACAGAGTTAGTGATGTGTAATGGTGGCATATAGAAGCATAGGGAGAGAGAGGAGAGGAGAGGGGAGGGGAGGGGAGAGAAACTCAGAGCATCATGGGGCCCCCAGCAGCCTAGGCCTATAGCAGCATAACTAAGGGAAGGCTCAGGGTCACCTGATCCAGCCCTAACTATAAGCTTTATCAAAAAGGAACGTCTTAAGTCTAATCTTAAAGGTAGAGAGGGTGTCCGCCTCCCGAACTGAGACTGGGAGTTGGTTCCATAGGAGAGGAGCTTGATAGCTAAAGGCTCTGCCTCCCATTCTGCTTCTGTGGACTCTAGGAACCACAAGTAAACCTGCACTCTGAGAGCAAAGTGCTCTGCTCGGATGATAAGGCTCTACGAGGTCTTTAAGATATGATGGAGCCTTGTCATTAAGGGCTTTGTATGTTAGGAGAAGGTTTTTAAATTCTATTCTGAATTTTACAGGGAGCCAGTGGAGAGAAGCTAATATGGGAGAGATATGATCTCTCTTGCTCGTTCCTGTCAGTCCTCTGGCTGCAGCATTTTGGATTAACTGGAGGGTTTTTAGGGAATTATTGGGACATCCTGATAGTAAAGAGTTACAGTAGTCCAGCCTGGAAGTAACAAATGCATGGACCAGTTTTTCAGCATCACTTTGAGACAGGATGCTCCTGATTTTTGCAATATTTTGCAAGAAAGAAGGCAGTTCTAGAGACTTGATTTATGTGTGATTTAAAGGACATATTCTGATCAAAGATGACTCCAAGGTTCCTCACAGTAGTACTGGAGGCAAGAGCTATGTCATCTAAAGTAACTATATGATTAGACGGCAGATTTCTAAGGTTTTCAGGCCCAAGCACAATGACTTCGGTTTTGTCAGAGTTTAGAATTAGAAGATTACACACGATTTGATTGCACATGAAACTATACAACAAATATTGCTTCATAAAATGTTGACTTTTGATTGTTAAAAACAAGAACTGAATATTTTCTTTGGTCTGCTTTGTTTCCCCAGCATATTTCAGTTAGGGCAAGTCACATTTAATTGTATGCTAATTATGTGAGACAGTTGAACCTGCCTTACACAAGGCTAAGAATTGCCATGTCTTGCTTGGGACAATAGCTCCAAAGCTGTCCTTGTCTTTCTTTCCTCTTTGACACAGCTAAAGTCCCGAGATTCAGCTATTTCTGTCAGAGGACACATTGTGTTAGGTTTGTATACATGCCAAGAATGGACATTAAAAATAAAGCTAGCTGCTAGCTATTAGTAGGCGTGTTTGCCAGATGTTTTTCTTAATCTAAACTGTCAATGGGGTGGTACTCATACTTGAAGCTTAATCTTCAACTTTAGTACATATTTTTAAAATAGCTGGCCATTCAGACCTTTGCACCTCTCTATTTTCTTTCTCTCTCTTTTCTTTTCCTTTCTGGGCCACTGACTTCAGCGACAGGCCTGTTGTCAAGTTTACTGAATGTGTGAACGCCCCCTTACAGCAGTGTGACACAACAAACCTTTTTGGTGGTGGGCCGCCTTTTTTTTGTTTGTTTTTTTGCATTATGGGGGGAAAGTGCAATTGTTTTGACCAACTATGTCAAGGACAATTAGGACGATTAAAAATAACAAGGTTTTATGTGACTAACAGATACTATATGAAGTTTCCAAAAATATGTTTTTTTGATAAATTACTCCAGAAGATTATTTAAAGGTTAGAGGGCCATCTTGACTTGTACTAGATGAATGGAATTAGGTTTGAAGGTAATTTCACCCTCCATCATGCAGTAATACAGTCTGAAAGTCTTTCTCATCCACTTGTGTGTGAGTAAAAAGTTACTATATATTCATTTGTTCAGGAAATATCTCCAGGAGATATCAAGCAGGGGGAAATCAGCTTTCCCTAATTCCCTACCCAGATTACCTGGCTTCTAGCAAACATGATGTTTATGAAATCAGCTTACTGCAGATAGCTAACTGTAATCTGGTTACTTTAATATTGATGGTATCTGCTCAGGTTTATGATCACCCGGCATTCAAGTATGATCTGAACATACCTAAAACAAAGCCAGTTTCTAAGTGTACATGTCATGTCATCAACAA